TGCCCTTGGTACAAGTATATAGGCATTCTAAAGAATGATAAATATGTATATGTACTCGAGAAGCTCAAACCCAGCTTATTACAAATTTTATAATTTTTACATTATTTTTTTTTTTTTTGCATACCACCAATGGTACGTGTACCACAGTTTGAGAATCCCTGCTGTAAGACACACATGAGACCATTAGCTCCTCCCTTCCATTAAGGTAATTGTTTTTTAAAGAAACATACCGACCCACCTATTCTGATTTGACAACGTGTTAACACTGAAACGAATATATTCTTTCAGTAATCAACAGACTTTTTAAGTTAAATTGGTAATTTTTATAGGAACGACAGCTGTAATCACAGTTATAAACAAAACATTTGTATTATGATGTTAATAAATCGTATTACAGGGTTTTGACTGAAACTTTCAATACATTGTGAAAATAAAGGCGCATTAAGTTATGAAGGTAGTGCAAATAAAGTAAACACTGTAAAAGCTAACTCAGTTCAGAGCCACACCAATAGATTACTTGTAATGGTTAAAATACGATAAATGTTGAAAATAGTCAATGCCATTTGAAAATAACGGATATTTAATGATGCCATGGAAAACTTGGGGAAACGTCGATTTTAAAGGTGTAAGCTGTTCTTAGTCTCTATTATATTAAAAAAAAAACACCCTGAACTCAAATTAGCTGAAACACACTGACACTGAGACAGACACTCATATAGGAACTCATATATATATATATATTCATATGCACGTTTACACGTATAAAGCCCATATAAATATAAATCAAGAAATGTATTAAGGTTGATTGAAATAAACAGCTTACTTGTGAAAAATTACACTTGCCAAATTTACATACACTTACATACCTTCACTCATAACGGTATTTTAAGCCTTAAACTTTACAAAATTCAGCCGGCAGATTGAGGTTAGACCTAAATTATTATACTCAAAAACTCCTACAAAAATTAGTCAGTTAACCGTTTTAATAAATAATATTTATTAGGAAATAAAATCTAGTTTTTTTTATATTTGTTTGTTTTTGGAAATGCGTGTAAAGCTACGAGAATGTTATCTGCGCTAATTTTAAATTGACAACCTAGAGGAGGGCAATTACTCTATTAACATCAACTGTCAACTGTTAGGGTACGTTTTTTTTTAAAATCCAGTAGTAGGGTCTTCCGGTTGGTAAGCAGTAACATTACGACTTTTCAACGCTAAAATCCGGAGTTTGATTCCCGTTTTGATTTCCAGTTGACAGAGTGCAGATAGCCCATTGCGTTGCTTTATACTAGGAAAATAATAACAGCAATCAAATGTGATTTGACTGTCACTCTGATATTGCACCCACAGCGGAATGAGTTTTTGATGTAACGGGACATGAACCATGAACTTTCATTTTCACAGTTCCTCTGGCCTCATTATCTTAAGAGTTTAATTCCTTGTATATTGATATTTTGATGCATGTAACACCAGTTTTTATGTGTTTTTACTATTAATATACTTTCCGTATTTTGATCACTCATCTAGTTAGGCTGATGATATTATTACTTTAATCTTCAATGTTTAATGTCTTGGTAAGGAAAGAATTTTGTCAAGAAGTGTGAATGCTTTAGTTTATATGTGTAACGTCCTTTTTTTTTACAATTGCGTTGAAGTGTTTATCGCTTGTGACTTCTAATCAAAAGCTGTAAATTTTGTAACTAATCATAATGTACCAACTTCCAAACTAAGCCTAAATCCCTCCAATTTTTACCTCTTCGTGTAGATTTTAATAAGTAATGCTATTTCGTTATGATCATCAAAGCAAGAACACTTTTTTAGGAGTTTCGTGAACCAATTTTCCATTAATGCCACATTTCCTTGCTTCAAAATGAAAATTACCTAGTTATAGTAGTAGGGTTAACGAAAAACATTTGGGAGTCTGCGAGAAGCTTGGAAAGTTTATGTGAAGCGAAATAACACTCTAGATACAAAATAAGCCGATACAGGATTGGTTTGATATCTCTAACTACTGGCCATTTAGCATACATAATTTTTAGCTGAAGTGAGATGAAATACCTGCAGGCAGTTACATAATTAAACGCGCTACATGCACGTGCAGATAAACACTGTCCTGGTTTCTTGGACATCCATCTCTTTCGCCTGGTTTACTTTTACACAGCCAGTTGCTGAACTAATAGTTTCTACATCCCTGGCTCTAAAGAAAGATTGATCATTTCGGTGTGCTCTCGACACCTTTCTGGCTATCAGATAGAGACAACGAAGTGTGGTCGACCTACTGAGTTATGTACACTCGAAAAAAATCATTGGAGTGTTTAAAACTTTGTTTGGAGGTTAGTTGAAGAATAGTTACTTTCCGTGATTCATAAAGAAGAAGCCCCCCCCCCCTCTCTCCTATTAAGCTTCATCAGAGGTAAGGGAGTTGCTATGTTTTTATCTAAAACTCGTTAAAGACTGATAGGTTTCAGATTTCAAC